CCAAATAAGTGAGGTGGTCAACGCTCTCTCTGAACCAGGAGTATAAATGAGCCAATGCTTGGAATAGGAAAACCAAGGGACCCTGGATATATGGTTTATTTTCGTTTGGATGTTGTTTTTTGTATTACTGTTTACTCTAGACCCCACATATAAGATAAAGTCACTCGTCGTTGAGGTCCCATAATGATAAGGATGTTACGTAACTGTTTTTGGTAATCCTTGAGTTCCCACTGGTTCAATTTTTTTTAATGAGAATTACCTTATGTTCTTACTCTCATGTTGTACTGTGTAAAACGTGATCATGTAAGTAAATCACAGTTTCTGTTTTGGATCAATCTTCATGACGGGCTAATAATTACATGGACAGATGGCCTCTCTTGGCGGTAGAAATTAAACTCTGGTGAATACTGTGTTATAATAAAAAAAATCACCCTAGTAGTGTTATTATTAATCTGCTGATTGGTGGAGATGTGGGGTTCAGCGGCTTAAACACTCAACTTTTAGTCAGTGAACCTCTCAGCCTCGAGTCCCACTCGAATTACTTCAGATACTACAGCCCTGATGTGCAGTCTAAAGCAAGTGGTTTTCCTAAAACGGCTGCATACCGAGTCTGATTTGAAGTCTCATCCACAAGGCGGCGTTGAGCAGCGTTCTCATGCAACAACAAATGAAATCGCCAGACACAATTGACCCCGGAAATCGATGTCCAACATCATCTATAGTGAAGAACGGGTCATAAGGTTGGTTTCAAGAATTCCTTTGAGCCCGTATATAAAACAAGGTTGGGCCACATACCTTAATTCATTGAAGACTTAGCCGTAAAAATACTTATGTGTGTCTTATGTGTATAAAAGTTATTTGTTATTACCTTAAACCTGCCTTGGTAATCCAATTTAGAGCCAAGGATCAATTCACTTCATAATATTTTCGACCCCTTCTTTTTTTCCGTTTTCTTTCTTACCCACACCTCTGCGTCATCTCCCTACCCATTATTTGTGACCTTGACCTGTACACAATCTGACGTGTATTGTAATTAGTTATGTCTTCTTGCCTTCTATAAAAACTATGTATGACAAGTACGTGTGTGTGTGTGTGTGATCAGAATGTCCGAAATGTGTTGCGCCAATACACATGACACGTTCCAGACAAACTACATCTTCTTATTGTGTTGTCGAAGTTCTCATATTTCTTGGTGACGCAGTTGGATCCCTTTGGATTCTGCAGCCCATGTACACCATAGTCTTGGAGTCAGGATTTTCCAATTCCCCTGTGTAGACATGCATGCCTCCTAAACTGGCTGAAAGTGCCAGACGTTCTCATTCTCTCAATTTTACAAGGAACACCCCTTGTTGCGTGAAGGTAGAAGCCATGACCATGTGACCACATGAGAGCATTTTGAGAGGAAGACCACAGTATACCCACCCAGTAGTAGTAAGATTTTAACATATAAAAAGTACACAAATAGTAAGAAGAGTAGCCATAGTTTGAGAAAGTCGGCAACATTTCCCGAAACAAATTTAAAACAAGCAACAAGAGTTGATGAATTCATCAAATTTCGATAGAACTCTTCCTCACATGAATACTCTACATATAGGGATACATATATACTATTAGAAATACATTGAGGGATATAAGACTTATAATTAAGGGAATAACCTCCATTGAATTAATCATGCAGAAAGACAGGTGTGAATGTTCAGATCAGGTCATGTTCAAACAGGTAAGGTTAAGAGATTAGGAGAGATTAAAATTTTTCTTAAAAATTGAGCAAAGAATATTCTTTTCGATAATTTTCTCTTCCAGCTCTACAATTATATATCTGTTCATAGACATAGGATGTTCTAGAACAGTCTTCAATAACAATATTGGTGTTTTGTTTTAAATACTATCGATTTGTCAGGTAAGATCACAGTGGAATTACCACAGTTCAAGAAAGATGACGCATAGGTTATAATAAGCATAAAAGTAAAATAGTAATAGAATATCAAATAAGATTAAAGAAATCTCTACAACAACAGATTGAGGATCATTAACACCTCAATAGCCAAGGTAAGGATAGTGTCTGCATCAACCAACTTCTTAAGTTAGGCTTCTTAACTAAGCTGGATTCCAATAGCCAACCTCAGCAGTATGCAGTGGATGAACTCCAGAGATAAAATTAGCCTTAAATGATATATGTTAGATGACTTTGAAAGTCGCCTTGTTAACATCAATCGTGTGTGCTTTATCCACGACATGGATTTTGTTTGTCCCTTTCTTAACCACTATGCAGCATGGTGTTTGGAAATCTAATGATAAACACGCCTAATTGTACGGTCTATGCAACTAACTGGCTCACTCTACATGAGCAGTCAAATTGGTGGGTAGATACGCATAGAAAGAAGAAACGAAGTTAGGTAGTTTATCTCTAACTACTCCGGAACATTAAATAAGGGGGATGTGGGTTGTATTGAAGACATATCATACTTGAGCAGCACTGAATACTGTTCGTTTTACCACTGTATTCCTTTGGCGTTGTGTTAATCAATATCTCACCGATGAAGTGAAGTTGGCATAAGAAGGCCTTCCTTTTTCGGAACTGTTGGTACTTTGGCCTGTGACCTCACTTAGATAAACAACTAGTTATTAGATAAAAATGAAGAATTGAGAACTGAGAAATATTTATAGTAATAGTTATAATAATATTGAGATGAGTCAAGATAATGCTACTGATAAAAGATAGTTTCAAATGAATCAGGAATAGAAATAAGAGGTAGAATAAAATATTAATAATAAGAGTTAATAAGTAAAACATAAAACCATGGTAGATTCAGAGTGACGACTGTTTCCTTTTATACACAGACAGCAGGTTTACGAACTCTAATTGCACAAGCCTCCTCAACCGCAAGCAACTTCCTGTTTCTTTGCTTGCTGACAACAGTGAATGACTTGATAGCATTGATATCATGTCCGTAGCCTACAAGATGCTCTGTTATTGAACTTTTCGACACTTTGACTTCAACCGTTTTCAAGCACTTTGGAAAACGCTCCATCATGTGATTAGACAATCGCCTTTCCGTACCTATGACCTATGCATGTGCTTCCATGAACACGCTCAAGCTGATATACTCAGTTTTAAATGTCGAAGACTGATGACTAGTCTTTCGCAGATTGTTGAAATACATCATCTCCTTTAACTGCCGAATTGATTTCTTTTGAACTGTTAGGATAGTTTTGCATCATTTCATCAGAGTATTTATTAATGGACTTTTCAGGTTATCCATTCTTAGATAACATGTTCTTCAGAGCCTTTGTCTCATGTTCAATTGTACTGTCAGAACAAATTTTTCGAGCTCTGTTGGGTAGTGTTCTGACTATGTTCTTTTTATACTGGATTGAAAAACATTTTTTGAAGACTTTTTAAATATAGATCTTTCGAATGCGCTATCAGTCCTTTTCACTAGACAGACAGACATCCAGGAATTAAATAGTGGCATTTTTCTCGTGTTCTTTTGTGAAGTTGAGATTTGGATGGCATGAGTTGAATTTTATCAACAGGTCTTCTGTTTTTTATCTACTTTCACAGAAAATAAAAATATCATTAACATATCTTAGGTATAATTCTGTTTGTTGTATATTCTTTTGCAAAATACCGGCCTGTAGGCCTGATAGGAATAATACTGTCTCTTGTTCATGTGGTTCCTGCAAATCCTCTTCATCTGGGTCCACGATTGCCCATAACCTCTCATGTCTCCCCCCCCCCCAACACACGATATCCTCCATATCACTGTCATACCGACGACCAACTCATCGCTTCCCATTGGGATTCCACTCGAACATTGGCCTGCATTGAGCGCGATATCATTCAATGGGGTTGCCCCAGAGTGTGCTCAATCAATCTCTACTTTCTCGTACATATTCTTTGAGCTATCTGCTCTTCCTTAATTGGTTTGTTCACCGCCAGAGTTTCTGGTTGGCCGGTCAGCCTGCCATTTGATCTTCAGTATGAAGCCGGCGAAAGGGGCAGCTGATGTGATAAAAGTCTGTGCTAACATGTTGGAAACACTTTTCGTGACACACGATGCAAGCCTCTAACCCGTGTAGAAGGACCAAATTCATACTTGCGTTAAAAATCCGAATCTTGTTCCTTATGCTGAGTGCCCAACCGATAGCTGCTACTTTGATGTGATGGTCGGGCTTGCATATCACAATGACCCAATAAGCTGGAGCTATCGTTCCTGCATGTCCTACCATGCCAGGAAGGTTGTTAGGATAGCGGTTAGACTAAAAGCAGTTACCACCAGTATAGTGTACGAATTTCTTTCACACCATGCGGGGGGGGGTCTGTAGGCGAAGTCGTACTGCTGTCTCTCCACTCTGGAGAAAGTCGGTTAGGAAAGGTAGACCCCAAAAATTGTAAATCCTGACTTACCCCACCTACGGTGGTCCGCAACCGGCGGTAAATCTACTAATACGACACCAACCCAAGAGACCAGTTCATACAGGCTGTGTGTGACTGGCCTCAAGCAGTTGTCCTCTGACCTCTGAAGTCATGCAACACTAACCCTCTTTTTGCTTCAGGTGCCCGAAGAACCAACCAACTTCCACGGTATGGGCAGCCGGGATGTAACAACAACCGCCCATACACTTCCAAAAGCTATGCTGAGTGCAGAAGATTTCCAAACTGGTTTCAGGTTGATGAAAGGTGTATCTCGCCTTTCCGATTCTGGCTGGCTGGTTGGCCGGTTTTGACATCTTTATCCCTTCTGACTGCCTGCAGTCAAAACGATGCTTTCTAGATAAATGAAGGAAGTAACCCGAGTGACCCGGCCCAAGTTCGAATCTCAAAATGAACATGAGTTACTTCAAAGGCTGTGGATACACACACCTTGGTGTGATCATTGCCGTCTACATGCAGATCATTCTGATAAATATGAATTGTGCAGTCACACTGTTCTTAATTTTATTCTTTTATTGTCTTTATTTCCTAAAATTAATGTTACTTTTTTTAATTATTATAGAATTCAAATTGTCTATTACTCCAGAACTACCTCGTCACAGTGTCACCTACTGTGCTCCTACCACCTTGTCGTCCTCATCTTTTCATCAATCTAATCGATGTATAGAACAAAGTACACCGTTGAAACGTACTCCAGCATCTTTTCAGGTTAAAAATTCTTCTTTCTATCCCGGTGATAATAACAACAATAATAATGATCATGATGATGGTCTTACTTCTTTGTTACACAAATCTAATCTATTCCCAAGAATACAATCAGATAATATGCTGAAAACGAATTATCATCATCCTTCAATGATATCATCGTGTCATCCTAGTCGATTAGAAATGCACATCGATTCATCTCCACCTGCAACACCAAAGGCAATGAATGCTTATTTAGAAATTGCTCCGTAAGTTATTATTATTTTTTCTTATGCTTAATACATTACAGAGATTATTTGATTGATTTTCAAGTGTTTGATCATGCATTGAGTTGAGTTAGAGAGAAAGAACCAGTAGAAACTAGGAAGTATTTTTCTAGAATTATATTTTTAAAATCTCAACGAAATTGAAATGATTAATTCCAACGTTTCCTGTGTTCGGCAATCTGGTCAGTTCAAACTTCTTCAGAGAAATTAATCGAAATTAACACAACAGAGGTTTACATATAACTTTGTCCAATCATCTGAGTCATGAAACAGGCATCAACATGTATAATAAACAAAATTGTATGAACTGTGATCGAAATTTGACCTCAGACTTTCAAAATTAGTCTACTTTTGTTAAAATGTATGTGTATATGCAGTATACAATGGTGTGTTTGGGTGAGCAGCCATAAAACATTTGTTAGACCAAATGTGACTAATTGTTGATACCTATCCAATTTTTATTTATTTATTAGTCAGGATTTGCCATGCATCAGCTAACATCACACCTTCACGTCTGTTTAAACTGTTGGGATTCACCCATATATGTAGGGTTTCTGCAGTCAGTCTTTCTTGATATGAACCAAAACCTTTCTGTAAAACCTTAGTCTTCTCAAAGTCAATTTTGTGTCCCGTTTCTGTCGAATGCAGTGCAATCGCTTAGTTGTTTTTCGGCTTCTTCAAGTCTGCAGAGGTCTTTGAAACCATCTCTAGACAGTGTTTATGCTCTTTCACTCTTGTATTTACTTGTCTGGAAGTTTCTCCTACATATACGGCGTTGCGATCTCCACAATTGATCTGGTTTTCCTGTTCTGTTTTTATCACAGTTGATACAATTTTGTTTATTATACCTGTTGATACCTGTTTCATGACTCACATGATTGGACAAAGTTTTAAAAACAGGAGATGTTCCTTTTACATATAAACCTCTGTTATGTTAATTCCGATTAATTTCCCTGAAGAAGTTTGAACTGACCAGATCGCCGAACGCAGGGAACGTTGGAATTAATCATCTCAATTTCGCTGAGATTTTTACAAATATAATTTTATAAATTTCTACTTCTCACTCGGCGCTCAATTAATTTTTGGCAACTACCCGGTCAAATCTTGATCATAGTTCATAGGAAGTATTTAACTGACAGTGTTGTTTCATCGTTCTAGTTTTGTGACCTACTGACTGTTCATCAGTATGTATCAATCGTCATGAACCGAATTCGAGATCTTTAGATTGTGATGAAACTATGCTTGCTGACTGACCAGTCAGTCACACTTGGTTTGACCGGAATTTATTGACCCGTTAATTCTAATTTCTGTCAATTGATGATTTTCAATTTTAAGCCAAAAACGTAGAGAGTTGTAGACTTCCTGACTGACTGGTTAAGGTCATCGAGATGGTAAGGACCAATGTTAGCGGTTGGAGACAATCTGTGACATGGCTCAAAATTGTAGTTATCAATGGCTGGCGAAGATGCATTCTCTCTTTCTAATTTATCATATCCAATGAAACTCTATTGTTCCTCCATATTACTATCATTTTTCCTTAACACTTCTGTTTATTGTCTCTTTCCCTTATGAATCTCTATTCTCTTGGTTTGTGTGCTATATGAAGGCTGTATGACAACTCGAACTGTTGCACATCTGTGGAAAGTTCTATGTTGAAAACAGTCAGTTAGTCAATTGGTGATTGTAGCACGATCACCAGCCAATCTAATTGGCGTCCGAGTATATCTGTCCCCCCCATCCTACCTGGTGTACCCTACTAGTTACAACGTCTTAGTAAAATTCCAGGCAACTTTGTCCAGTACACCTAGTTAATTTTATAGTGTTAGTTTGTAAGTTTTCAGTGGTTGTTTAAGCGAAGGACTAGACAGGATTACATTGACTCCTAGCTTAAAGATAGGGAATAAAGAGTGGTTGGTGTAGCTTGTTGATCACTTCACTTATTTGGGAAGCTGCATCAGCCAGCTAACGCCAGTGGGTTGATCTGATCGCTGACGAAATCTCAGCAGGGATACAGAAAGCTAGTTTGGCATTTTCTACCAAGTTACTCCTTCTCTGGTGTAGACGGGATATCCGGCTGTCGACCAAACGGCGTCTGTACTGCCCAGCACTCCTTTCGCTCCGTCCTCATTCATTTATGGTTGAGACATTGCCACTGAAAGTGGGAGACATCAATATAATCGTGAGTAATATTCAGGTGAGACGCCGGTCGAGTGCTAGGTGAGTGAGAGGGGAAATCAGCCGACGAGGTTGTGAAGTTATATCGATTGACAGAGATAGTTGGGAAGTCTGTTGCTCATGAAATGAAATCCACAACAGTTAGTTTAAGCCAGTCAGCTAGCCACGTAGGGAAGTGTAGACTTCCTGACTGACTGGTTGAGATCCTCGGGATGGTAAGAACAAATGAAGACTGGAGACAGTTGGTGATATGGCTCAAAGTCGTCGTTGTCAGTGGCTGTTGAAGGTGCATTCACTCGTTGTGATTTTTCATATCCAATAAAATTCTTCCATATTATTATTCTTTTTGCCTCACTCACACTTGTGTTTAATATCTCTCTCTCCCTTCTGAATCTCTCTTTACTCCTTTCTACTGCTTTGTGTGCCATATGGGGGTGGGCATATGGCAACTCGAACTGCTGCACCTCTGTGCAAACTTCTACCTTGAGACCAGTCACTCAGTTACAAGGGTGAATAGGTAAAATGATCACCTACTGACTTTATCTTTATTACTGTTAGAATATTTTCATTTTTTGTATGTGTTTGGATCAGTTATGATGCATAAAGCATTTTCTGTAGAAGGTAAGTTAAATGAGGCTAAATCGGTAGCATTTATTTGCTCATGCATAATCTATCGAACATTGACCGGATTATAATTTAATTGGTAAATGGTGACTAGCAGTGGAATCCAGGATAAAGCGCATTTCGTCTTATTTGGGACTAATTCGTCAGCCAGCGGTGGTACCTGCATTCCCCAGTCAGTCAGTGATGATGTTCAAATAGGATGAAATGCTCTTTATCCTGGATTCCACTATTAGTCACCACCCACCAATTAGCTTCTAATTACATGCCCAGACATTGTCGAAGCATCTGCACAAGAAGCCGCCGACATGTCAACCTGAGACCGAGCACTTCGGTTCAATCAATCAATGGAGGGAAAATCTAAAATTCAGTTCAATAACTGACCGGATTGCTTTTAGAACTAACTCGTGCATGATATGCGTGTGTAGTATTAAGCATGGGAATTCACCTCAGGGTAGTAGTATTAGTACAACAACAACAGCAGCAGCAACATCCAGCGCCAATCCCAATCAACCGGAGGGATTTGAAAGAGGTTACTTCATTCACTTATCTAGGGAGCATTGTCTCAACCACAGGCAGTCGGAACGGACTAGGATATCAAATCAAGCGAGAATCGGGTAGGTGAGTAACACACACATTCATGAACCTGAAACCAATCTGGAAATCTTCGTCACTCAGCCAGCATCAACAACAAAATTCGGTCGGATTTTCAATACAAACAACGTGAAGTCAGTTAGTTCTTCTGTACGGACCAGAAACTTGTCCAGTGGGTAACAAAGAATATTTCCAACAGCCTGTTGCAGACCTTTGTCAGCAACTCTACTATCTTCGCTCTATACTGAAGATCAGATGGCTGGATCGGAAAGAATCACCAACCAGAAACTATGGGAAGAAACAAAACAAGAACCAGTCGCTCGCCCAACAAATATGCAGGAGAAATTGGATTGATTGTACACTGGCTGAGGCGGCCGCCGGGTGACATCGCGCGCGTGTCAGGCCATAGCTTGAGTGGAACCCGAAAGGGGAACGGCGAGTGGGTCGTCGGTGCAAGGATGACATGGAGGAGATCGTGTGAAGAGACAGGAGCTGAAACAGTATGGACTAACTAACATGGATGCAGATGAAAAGTACGGCAGAAGACAGAAGCAAGTGGAGGCGTGCAGTTGAATCCCTGTGGTTCCACTAGGAACCCGAAGGGAACAATAATAATAATACTAGTAGTATTAGTAGTAACAGGTTGAATATTAATTTGTATTGACTGAAATATTCGCAATAAATGTTGACTGTAGTCATCCACGGCAAACCTTCTGTACATGGTCTTGAAGGCAGTAGAAAGTCTGAGAAGGACACGATAGTAAAGAATGGTAGTCACTCATAAAGCTTTTAATTATAGGATTCGATGTAGCTCAATGGTTGAATCACTTGACATACTCGAATCTGGACAAAATCGGTAGTATCATCGGCAGCAGCCTGTGGTACACACGGTAAATCTCTTTCATAGCCACTGAGTTCAAAATTGAGCCAACCAGAGAGAATTAGTGGTTATTATTATTATTATATGTCCTGGATGTGTTATCTAATCATTTGTTATTGTGCCTTTATTATATCATAGAGAAATATTGTTCTTCACATTGTTTCTCATTATTTTAGTTTCTCCTGTTGTGTGTATGTGTGTGCGTGTTTTGTTTCCGTTGGATTACATTCCATAGTAGTGTTCTTTAAAGGTTGTTCATCTATTCCCTAGTTAACTGTAATTCATCGATTCTTCCTGTATTAGAAAATTAAAATACAAACGAAAGGATACTTGTACTTTTGTTTCTCTATGCGTAAATAGGTAGTTTATCGATTTAAATTCACAAAATCAATGAAGTGTTTGATCAGAAGTAGGTAACATTCTTCTATCTTGTCTCTTACAGGTGTAGGTTTAGATGGAGAGTGCTTCAGTGAAATTTGTCCAAATAAACGTTTAGACTTCTTTTCAAGAGTCGGTGTGTAAAGATTAGAATTTTTTTACACTTTTGACTTGCTACAGGACGGAGTTTCCTGGAGTTCTAGTGAAAAGTTGTGACCAGTGAAGTCCAACCAGTCGGGAGTGAGGATGGATGTGTCCCACCGATGACGCTGGTTGTTGCCAGTCCCGCTAAATGCATCACGAATTGGTAGAGATTAGAATTCATGCACTGACCACTGTAGAGTCTGGTTCCAGTGTGCGTCAGTGGCACAGCGGTTAGGGCTCTCACCGACCATGTACATGGTCCGGGGTTCGAGCCCACACCGGCGCACACCTGATATCTATGGTCGGCCTGCAAAATTTTGGCTACCGATATCCATGCTGAAAATTCCATACTTGTACCAAAAATACAGTGTGGAATCAAGCTGTAAATAAAAAAAATAAAAAATATATATTCTTTTCCTCTCGCACTTCTGTTTATTATGTCTCTCTCTCTCTTTTGAATCTCTTTTTACTCTCTCCTCTTGGTTTGTGCGCTACATGGAGGGAGAGTGGCAACTCGAACTGCCGCACATCTGTGCAAAATTGAAAATTGTCAGTCACAGAGGTTGAATTATGAGAAACAGTAATAAATGTTATAGTGAATTATAAGTGAGGTGTTCTGGTGATTTTCCCTCTCTTTCTCTGTAAGCTTAGATTTGTTGACGTAACCACTTTCCTCATAAAATAGTCTTTTGGGTGGTGGTGGGGGGGGGTGTAGGCGTACCTGTCTGAAATACATGAAGAAAAATTATACAAATCTTCTAATCTTTACTATTCTTTTTCGTCATATTTTCTAGTCTGTATAGAAAAAAAACAACTTTATGAGTTAATTCGATAGTGTCAAGTTTTATTTTTAAAAATCAATAATAATCACGATCGCGTTGACACTTTAACTCTGGACATTTATTTATTCATGGGTCATTGATTTGATTTTTTGCTATTTCGTCGTTCGGCTTCAGTCTAATTACACCCACCTGAAACAATGTGAATGAGTCATTTTTTTATATTTCAAAGGTTAAAATAACCGAAAAGTGATTGTGGTGTGGTTAAGCCTATTTTTTTTTACTACGAAAATATGTCAGTTATGCGTTGTATTTAATCCTTCATATTCTCGGAAGTGAACTGGACTGAACTCAAGAATTGATTTTGTCTGATTGAAGAAAGACTGACATAATTACTTAAAATTAAAGAAAAAACAACAACAAAAGTTGACTACATTTTTTTATCTTCAAGTATTGGTTTCGTAGGGATTTTGTTTGATTGCATGGAAGATTTCATCATGGGAAAGCGGGACCAGTAGGGTACAGCAGATTGAAAATGAGGCAGTAACTTATCGAAGAAGACATTGCGAAATGGTCGGACTATGACGTGAATTGGCAGAAGTTAGAATTCATGAGCTTACCATTGGATTGGGTCCTAGTGGCTCAATGGTCTACGAGCTAGCTCGCCTTACAACCAAAAAGTCCTAGATTTGAGCCCCGGTGGTGAGTGCGTACTGCTGAAGAGTCCCGAACTAGGACGAAACAGCAATCCAGTACTCCCTGGCTGGTTTTCCAGTAGTTCTCTAACTGATGTCAGCTCATGATTAAATCCTCCATGCAATTAAATATTTTATAACTAGTACCTTTTCTATGAATCAGTTTCTGATAAGAATGGATTAGTTGAATGGTACTCATTAAGTTAGGGTTTCACGTAGAACATAATGTTTCAGCGGTACTTATTCATTTCATCTTGTTTTTTGCAGTTCTTCTTTTCTCTGACTTCACGATTGCCGATAACCTCCCGTATCCTCCGTTTCAGCCTAGGATCACTCCGCTCATCTCGTCGTTCGTCATTTGGATCCTACTCTAGAGTCGGAGGTCTTCTCATCATATGTCCTATCCGACATGTATTAGTCGATATGTTCTTGATCGGTTTGTTTCCCAGAGTTCTTTGTGGCTAATCCTTTCTGGTTGTCTGATATCTTCAGTGTGGTACGAACGCAGCTGTTGATGGAAGTCTGCAGCATCCTGTTGGAAATGCGTTTGATGATGCGCATACCAAGTCGATGGACAGCCATATTAAAAGCATTGGGTCGACAGTGGTGTTGAGGAAAATATAAATCTTGTTCCATATGTTGACTGCAGCGCATTTCCACACTGATATGATATTAATTAAGGTCTGACTTCTTTTGACATTCTGATTCGTTTCGTGAATGAGTGAGTGAGTGACTGAGAGGAGTGATCTCCTTCAAATTTCTTCCGTTGAAATTATCATTGTACATGCTGTGAAATAATTCAACGTATCAGAAGAGGGTGCTAGGTTTAAGTCTTAGCGAAAAAAGCATCACTCAATTTAGATATAAGTACATTCAGTTGAAGAGTCCTAAATAAGACGAAATTCATCTGCCTAAATTCTACTGCTAACCGCCTTTAAACAAGATTTATTCTAATTTTAATTCGTTCGACTACTAAGATATTATCGATTTTGTTTCTGCTATGGCATCCTTCATTTTCAATGTTCACCGTAATAATGAAAAAAGTCATTTGGCACTGAGCGAAACAACCAATTCGTCCTGCTGACGTCTAACTCAAACTTAGTTAACCAATGTGTGTAAAAAGATATTTAGACTTAAGAAGGCCTATATAATCGTTAATTATAGGTAACTAGGATCGCTGGTTAGACCGTGGCGGTGGGTGGGAGGAAGAGAAGGGAAGGGAAATTTGGCAAGCTTATCGTGTCTTGCAGAGGTACACGTGTGGCAAAAATGATACATTTTTTGTTTTTCCTCAGGACTAATTTGCTCTTTTTTTATCTCGTCTAACTGGCATTTGATTGGATATCTCGTTCTACTTTCTGATTGGTTGATTAACTGATGTTTGTTTTTCGATTTACATGCGGCGTGAAAAAGCTGCCCTTGCTTACACCCACCGGCTTAAACACGACACGACATGATACGATGAAAAATAGTCTGTAGATCGTGATTATTATACACCGGGAAGCTGTGCTGGGAGATTTTCTCATAACCCACCTACCTCTTCAAGCTGCAATTCTTACTTTGTTATTATTATTAAAAAATCTAAAACAAATTGAATACATATATATATCTGTATATTGTATTGCTTCTTTGATTTCGTCTTATGCAGTTCAAATTCGCCTGATGCAGTTGCTCCTAGTCTAAAGAATTCTCCAAATATTCAACAACACGCTGTTCCTAATTGTCAGGTGGCGACTGAATTCGAAGCTATCAGAGAGTCTACCTCGCCTTTAATTCATTCATCATCAAAGAAGCAAATTTTTGGGAGCAAAGAGTCTGTAAGTTTTCTTCTTTTCTTTCCTTTTCTTTTTATGAGTAGAAGGAGCGTCTTTCAATGTATACGTAATCAGCTTTCTATTTCACCTTAATCACTCGATTTAGTGGTCACGGATTTCATATTGTTTGTTTGTGGGGGGGGGGGGGGGGTGAGTGGTGAGTGAGTGAGTGAGTGAGTGAGTGAGTGAGTGAGTGAGTGAGTGGTGAGTGAGTGAGTGAGTGAGTGAGTGAGTGAGTGAGTGAGTGAGTGAGTGAGTGAGTGAGTGAGTGAGTGAGTGAGTGAGTGAGTGAGTGAGTGAGTGAGTGAGTGAGTGAGTGAGTGAGTGAGTGAGTGAGTGAGTGAGTGAGTGAGTGAGTGAGTGAGTGAGTGAGTGAGTGAGTGAGTGAGTGAGTGAGTGATATTTAACCTACCATATTTATTTCAGATGGTTCCATCCATCCATCCTCACACGTGACATCTCGTTTCCAATGGTTCTCTAACTGATATCAATCCGTGATCAACTCGTAAAAAAAACAAAATTAACTCTTACAAACCAAACTATAGAAAATTCATCTGATGCTAGCTAGTGATTTCCTACAGGATGGAGTTTCCTGGAATTCTAGAGAGAAGTCCCGATCAGTGAGGTCCATCCAGACGTCACGTGTGAGGATGGATGTCCCACCGATGACATTGGTTGGTGCCAATCGCGCTAAATCACGAATTGGTAGAGGTTAGAATTCATGCACTGACTACTGTAGGGTCTGGTTCCGGTGTCAGAATAGTATACGAGCTAGCTTGACTTGTAACCGGAAGGTCCTGGGTTAGAACCCTGGTGGTGGGTGCGTACTGCCGATGATACCCAAATTATTATTATTATCATTATTATTATTATTATTATTATTATTATTATTAATGTGTGGTGCATCTTCTTGGTGTCATATTTTACCAGGTTTGGTGTTTTAAATAAATAAATAAGTAATAACAATAATTCTCTAATTACTATGGATGCATATAACTATAGAACCTAATGAAGAAAAAGTTATGCGAAAGAATATTCTGTGTTAACTTAATACTCAGTCTTTTGAAGTCACAAAATGACTTTCAGTCATAGTCAAGGGAAAGTTCACCTCACAACTTGAAATTCAATATACATATATTATGTCATTTCTTGTTACCTGTTGGTGTTTTATACAAACTTTCTGGCGGTCTGCTTAAAGCACCAAATTTTTTCACTATTTATCAGAATGTATCATATTTACTGTGTTTCACATGTTTTTAACCACCCATCCTACTATATTCATGAATTGTAACCTACTCTGTCTCTCTCTCTCTCTCTCTGTCCTTGACCACAGTTTTGAAATTGTTGCAACCTACTACTAGGAATTTTTTCTACAAAAAATGAGAGAAAACCTTCCCAGGATAATGAAGCACACTTTGCGTGGAACAATATTGCTTCAAGTGATGCATTATTGATTATTTTATACTAATCAAAGATTTTTCACGAGGCGTTATTTTATTTTGATTACAGCTTGATGTCACACCGTATTTTCGGTACAAGTATGGAATTTTCAGCATATGATATCGGTAGCCCAAATTTCGCAGGCTGACCATAGATATCGGGTGTACGTCGGCAGGGGATCGAACCCCGGACCATGTGCATGGTCGGTGAGAGTCCTAACCACTGTGCCACCGACGCACCTTGCAGTAAAATAAGCTGAAAATTCTGTGCCTTTCTTTTAAAATGAACTTTCTGGAATAAAGCTTTTGTTTCAGGATTTCATCATAAATTGATATCGGTCAGAGAACCAGCATTTGACAGCCAGGTGTTTCGTCAGCCTAGTTTAGGACTCTTCCTCAGTACGTACCCACTTTACTGCCAAGGCTCGAAACCAGGACCTTCCGTTTACAAGGGGAGCTAGCTCATAGACCATTAAGCCACTAGGACCCGCCAATTCAGTAGCCAGTTCATGAATTCCAACTTCTACAAATTCACGATATGGCGCAACCACATGATAAAATCCTGAAACCAATCAAATCCCTGCGAACTAATACCCGACTTCAATATCAATCTGACGCTCACTATAGGCCACTGGCCCTATTCAGGTAGATAATTACCTAGGTTCTAGTGAGAAGCTGTGATCAATGGGGTACAGCAGGTAGGGTGTGAGGGGAAATACTCGCCAGCGATAACATTGGCTAGTGCCAGTCACGCCATATCATGAATTGACAGAAGCTGGAATTCATGGAGTGGCTGACATTGAATCGGTGTCTTAATGGTCTGTGAGCTGACTCTCGCCTTGTAACCAGTAAGTCCTTGGTTCGAACATTGGCATTGGGTGCGTACTGATGAAGGGCTCTAAAGTAGACTGACGAAAAACAACTGGTTGTCCAGTACTCCAATTCTAGTTTTCCAATGGTTCTCTAACCGATGTGTCAGTTCATCATGATGAAATCCTAAAACCAATCAAATCCCCCTTTACATTTCAGTATCCCATTTTCTTTTTCGTTTCTGTAATCAGATTGGATCAATGGATTCTGTGTCTATGAATGCACTTATGACTTCACCATACCTTGAGACATCATCACCACGTCAACATGAAATACGCCTTTCTCCACAAAAACGTACAAATTACAATCTTAATAACAAGAACAGTAATAGTGCTACTACTACTAATAATAATAAAAAAAATGGTCCATTAAGGCATAAACTGCTACCACCATCATCATCATCAGTGAGTGATAAACACGACAGTACAAGTAGTGGACGTGGTTACAGTCTAACAGGTACACAAACTGTCCCGTGTCAATCATCGAATATTGCGTCAATCCGATCAAGTCTACTAGAATTACACACTTATCCAGATTCACCGAATACATGTGCAGTGGTTATTGACTCTCCAAACCATCATTCCAGAAAGGATAACATAATGAATGAAAGCAACAGTACTAGTTGTGGTAGTAGTTGTGATTCTATCGGAACAAGTAGTATACTTGCATGGGATGATGATCGTGATGAAGACCATGAGCGTCGTCGTCCTCGTCATCATCACCACCATCATCATCATCATTCAAAGAAAAGAAAAGGCGATAAGCGACACCAGCAACAACGCCAACTTGATGGATCATTGGATGAGCTAACGTCTATATTGTCAGCTAGTTTATCAATGGATGATGATGATGGCGCGAATGCTGCTGATGACAAGATTCCAGCGACATCTCGATTGTCGTCTGATGGTAGGAATGGTGGTTGGCCACCGACGACATCTGAGTTAATAAAAGAAACAAATGTCTTTGCACATGCACTTGAAAAACGATTGGAATACTTAAAGTAAGTTGTATTGATGAGAATTTTTATTTTTTAAAAAATTTAATTTTGGACTCCTTATTTATTGTACGTTTTGTTCCACAGATGTAAGGGGTGTGGTTTCAAGATAATAAATGCACAGTCTCGGTTTAAAAACTAATCAAATCCCTACAAACCAACACTTGAATATCGATGAGGTGCTCACTAGCGACTCGCCCTGGGGTTCTAGTGAGAAGTCGCGACCAGTAGGGTGCATCAGATGGTCGGGTGTGAGGACAAATACTCGCCAAAGACATTGGCTAGTAGTCGCGCAATGTCGTGAAATGGCAGAAGTTGGAATTCATGCACTGACTGGCCATTGAATCGGGTCCTAATGGCTTCATAATCTACGATCTTGCTAGCCTTGTGACCAGAAGGTCTTGGGTTCGAACCCCGTCGGTGGGTGCGTACTGATGAGGAGTCCCGAACTAGGACGAAACAGCAGGCTGTACAGTACTCCCAGGTTTTCCAATTATCCTCTAGCCAATGTCAGCTCATGATGAAATCTAATAAAAACTAATTCTTGAAATTGAGTCTGCTGTTCGTTAGTGAAGGTGAAGTTGCCTGGAGTTCGAGTGAGAAGTTTTGACAAGTGGTGGTGTCTATTAGCGTTCGGGCGTGTGAGGAAAAATTACTCGCCGATAATGATGACATTGGCACTAAAATGGCTAAAATGGTTAGCGAACTTGACCTTGTAACTAAAGGTCATGGGTGGTTCATACCGATGAAGAGTTTCAGGCCAGGACGAAACAGCTATACATTACTGGGTGGTTAGGCTGAGGTACACTTCAATAATTATAATGGCTTTATTCGAAAACAGTACGTATGTGATATAATGTGGAATTTTCAGCATATGGAAGAACATTGCATCTAATTAACCTTTACATTTACATAGTAAAGGGGAAGTAACTAATAAGGAATTTATATATTGATAATAATGTCAGTAAACATGTGGCAATATCATTTCATGAAAAAACACGTACTGTTCAGCGAAGAGACTCTTTTCGTCGGCGAATTCATTTTCACAACTGTAAAATCGCAAATATATATATGGGTTACTTTGTATGCAAATGTGTACATTAAGTTTGTCAAACGAAAATACAATTGGTTATGGTTATTTTAACTAAACAGGTGGAGATTGGTAATACAAGTCAAGAAAATTAGATGTTAATGAAATTAGGGTAGTAACAAAGGTGATGAGTTGTCACAAACAGTTGTTAAAAGAAGTTATGTAATAATAATATGAATAGTTTGGTGATTGAGTTGTACTCGGTCAGCATACACATAGGAACAAAGTATAGATAATACGAAATTACGTAAAAGTTCTAACTGAATATACAAGAATTATAAGCAATTAAAGAAACAGGCAAACAAACAAAATCAAGTCATTAAAAATCAACAAAGTTTTTTACCATGGTAGTAGAAGTAGTTGATTAATTGATTCTCTTATGTATGCACAGCCCCGGTTTTTCTAAGTGAATGGCCAGAGCTTCAGCGACACAAAGAAGACGAAACCGTATTATCTTTGGCAGGTTGTTCTTGTCTGTGTAGATTACTTTTAAGCAGGAGGCGTTTATTGAGATGTAATGATCAGTGTTAAGCAGGTGTTCAATTATCGCACTCCTTATTGTACCACTATTGCCTTTTTGCAGCCATGTTGGATAGTGTACTTGAGCCCTCTGGGACAGGTTGCACGTCGAACGACTAATGTACCTGGCTCTACAGCAGCAGGTAGACTGATATATGCACTTAGAGTAAAACTCATTCATCAAACTATTCATATTATTATTACATAATTTCTTTTTAACAACTGTTTGTGACAACTCATCACCTTTGTTACACTACCTAATTTCATTAACACCCAATTTTTTTTTGACCGATTTTGTATTACGTAGCTCCAATTACCAATCTTCACCTGTTTAATTAAAATAACCATAACCAATTGCATTTTCGTTTGACAAACTTAATGTACACATATGCATACAAAATAACCCATATATATATATATATATATATTATTTAAATTTAGTAGAAATTATGATTTTCATTCCCTTGGGTTCCGAATGGAACATAAGGCGGCCTCAACAACACTTGTCCACTTTCTTCTATTTTCTGCTGTCCTCATCACCTGGTGGTTGGTTTGAAGATCGCTCATAATCTGTTACCTCCTACATGTCACTCTCGCACCGATGACCCACTCATCACTTCCCATTGGGATCGCAATCGAGTGATGGCCTGTATTGAGTTCGAGGTTATTCGACCGACGACCTCCTCAATGATGTGTATCCCTTGTCCATCTCCATTTTCTCCTACATATATGTCGAGCAATCGGCTCTTGCTTTGTTGGTTTGTTCATCACCAGACTTTCTTGTTGCCCATTCTTTCTGGCCAGCCAGCCAGCCATCCTGTCCGCCATTTGAAGGCAGCTGCGTGATTGGCTGCATACCCTACCCCGTAAAGCCATTCAAACCGTTACAGGAACTTCAACTCAAGAAGGTATTTTGAATACCACTCACCAAATATCCGATAAGAATTTCGACTTAGTGTATATGTACATACAATTTTTTGACATTAATTCTCATTGTGTAACTTTTAAGGGTGTGAATTTAAGACCACTTGAGTTAACCTGAGCAAAAACTAACCAACTCTTCATCAAAGATAAAATTGACTAACTACTGTTGATTTCAGCCATACAGATGAAAGCTTTTGAATTTTGATTAGGCGTGGTGTTACTTTCTACGAGGTGGGATTGCCAGTCTTATTTACATCCATTCCTACCCCCCTCCTTTTTCTCGGGTGTATTACTGATAAGGTTAGGTTTAAAGAATGTATCGGCTTCAAAGTCGAACCCAGACTACCTATGTGTGTGTATGTGCTTGGCGAACATTGTTACCACAGCATCACTGATGCAAACTGTAATACGGTCCTTGCAGCTAATGTTCAAAGGTTCGAACTGTCACACGACTTTAAAAAAAAATTAAACATCCTGCTATCAATTTCCTTTTGTCAACTATTATTCGTTCATGAATTGATTACGAACTGATATCATTTACAGTACCATTGGAACTCTTCATCAGTGCTCATCCACCCCACTGCCACGGTTCGAATGCGGGACCTTCCGGTTACAAGGCGAGCTAGCTCGTAGACCATTAAGCCATTGCCACTCCCGAGCCTGTCGTCCTTAAATTCCATTTTTTACCGATTTGTGAATATATTTGGCGCAACCGCCAGTCTATATCACAGGCGATTAATTGTTCTCTTGCCTGACCTGGTAGCCGCCTCTGCTTACGCCTCCTCACTAGAACTCCAGATACGACAAGTCGCTAGTAAGCATCAGATTAATTGTCAAGTTTACAGGATTTACAGGGATTTGATTTCATCGTGAACTGACACATTGGTTAGAGAACCATTGGAAAGCAGGTACTGAATAGTCAGTTGTTTCGTCAGCCTAGTTTAGGGACTGACTGACTGACTCTTCAGCAACACGCACCCACCGTACCGCTAGGGTTCGAAACCTAGAGCCTTTCGATTACAAGGCGAACTAGCTCCGTAGATCATTATGCCACTTCATTTGTGCACACATTTTCTTTTCTTTCTTCCTTCCTTCCTTTTTTTTAAACTCATAAAATTATACAATTTAATTCAAAAACAACCTTTGTTATTCTTTATTTTGGCCCAGAATTTTATTCTACTACATTTGTTCAACATATCTTGTTTTTTTGTAGTCATAATTCTTGTAGAGCTTTGTGATTTTGCTCCTTCCCTATATGCCTTAATTTGTTGCCTCTTGTCTTGTTAATCGATGTCTAGACAGAAAGACACACACCTCGAGTGATGAAGATGGTGAATACAGAATACCATACCGGTAAATCGATCCTATATATATATATATATATATAGGCATACATACAGACAAACAAATTGAATCGGTTTTATGGATTGTGGATTATTCTTTCGAGTGTATTATGTCGAATAAAAAATAAATGTTTCTCTCCCTCTCTGTGTTTGGTTATGTGTATATACGCGTGTGTGTGTGTGTGTGTGTCTGTGATGTACAAGAAAATCTCTAAATATTCCCATCATTATTAATACTTGGGCCAAGACATACAAGTGAACAATGTTATTGTTTTCAATTAGATCTTCTTCAGACTTTGCCCTTATTTGCATAGATTTATACATATAAAACAGAATTATCTCAGCGTCAGTCAATAAACTCTATGGGTTTTAAACTACACTAGTCGATAGTTGTCAGCAGTATGGAAACAGGAATCATTGTAACAAAATCAGTCGACGAGGTGGCAGTCAAGCCACGTCGACTGAGATGGTTAGGACATGTGTTACGTATGCCTAGTCATCGATCGCCTTCCTCGACAGTGGGCAATGTTAGCTGACAGACTGACCAGACTGGAAAAGAGCTAGAGGCGGTCAAACCAAAACATGGCGCCAGTCAATGAAATCCACAACAGTTAGTTTAAGTCACGTAAGAAGGTGTAAACTTCCTGTTTTAGGGTCCTCGGGACGGTAAAAATCAATGGTTGGAAACAATTGGTGATATGGCTCAAAATCGTTCTAATGACTGGCGCAGATGCATCCACTCCTTGTGACTTACGATTTTCAACGAAACTATATTGTTCTTCGTTATACTATTCCTTTGTCTCACGCCTCTGTTTACTGTCTCTATTATGCATTTCTTGTACTTTCTTCTCTTGCTTTGTGTGCTACATGGAGTGTGATGACTTGAACTGCTGCACATCGTTGCAAAGTTCTATGTTGAAAACAGACAGACAGATTGCAAAACCCTGTTGACTAAACGGCATCGAGAAGCTCTGAGAAAGTTAGGGAACCGTGAAAACATTATAATCATTGGGCTTGATAAGGTGGTCGGAGTAGTAGTAGTAGTAGTGGTAAGTGCGATTACGTTGACAAAGCGAATTCTCCTAACAAAATTCCAAAAGCCTAAACAGCTCAACATATCTAGACAGAAA